TACTAAGCAGTGATATTTTTCATGTGGACCATTTTGATAAATACTCACCTAAACCTTTCCTAACAAAGTTGTGGGTGGGAAAATTCTGAATTATGCAGTGAGATAATAGGAATTTCAACGCCAAATTATTTCTCTGTCCTAGGATCTCCTGCAACTCCAGTTTGAAGGTGCAGCTATTATGGACATATTTGGTAAGGCAAAAATAAATGTAAATCTCTTGTTATTTCTCCTCAACAGAAAATTTTATGGCAAAAAGTAAATGATATAGTATATTATATATGTAATTATTAGAGCTGATTATTACTGTCTGTAGAGCAAACTTGGAAATAGAAAGTGAAACAAAATGATAGATCTGAGAAAAATTATAACCTAAGAATTACATGTTCTAAGATCCAGCTACTGAGAAAGATGCTGTGTGGTAACATAAGTGACAGTAAGTGAAAAAGAAGAGTAAAAATCATCACATAGTGTTCACCAAAGGTTCCAGCTGTTGCACTGTTTAAGTGGTGATCTTAATTGTTTATAAACTACTGTAAAAGTAATTAGTTTTATGGGGTCTAAGATATGTTCATGTTAAAGTACTCACATGATGTGAGATGGGCATTATTTCAAAGTCTGCATAATTACAAACAGCATGAGTTATGTTTCAATAAAATCTTATCGGGCAATCAGTAACGTTTTATTGTACTCGCCACGAAAGTCTCAAATCCTGTATGTAATATTTTACGATACATAGCTTAATTTTCTTGATTTTGTAATAATCAACGTGTATTAATGAAATAATAATAATTACGTATTTTTGTAAATACATTTCAGTACTTTTAATTAACTTTCTAGCAGTAATTTACAACATTTATATTTTCTATGACAGTTTTCCTATAAATCTGCCAAATTAAAATTTGTCAAACTTTTTAACCCTGTTAGCTTTGAAAAACATCAGTGAAAATAGATATAATATTAAAGAAAAGGAAACAAAAAGGCATGGAATTTATGTACAATGAAAAAACATTAAATTTCAAGGACCTTCTTTTGACTGGTAATCAATCCACAGTATAATGTGAATCATAGAAACCAGGTATGTTTAACAAAGTAGAAAATAAACATAGATAAATTTTGAAACTTATTACACCACTTTACTCACAATAACATTTAGAGTATATATCAGAATTATACCCATTTTTATTTGCACAAATTTGGAGAACGTATCTAGCATGTGTGTTCGTATGTCAGCCTTTGTTAACCAGTATGCATAGCTTTTGTGTTACTTATGGGTTATAAGGGATTACATGGGAACAAAACAAACTTTTGGATTTACAGTTTTGATAGAAAATTTCTGTTACGACTGTATCAGTGAAGCTTGTTTTCAAAGAAGTTCATTCACAGAACATTTGGGAATCACTGCTTTAGAAGGCTAGGATTGAGGTTGCATAAAATAATTTGTTAATCCCATTATTATTGTTTTAAGAAATGTAATAATTATTCTCTAAAAGCATACAGAGTTGTGCATGTCATGGGTTTAATATATCTATAATGTTATAACTATGGTAACAAAATAAAAAAAACAAATAAATAATTAGTAATAAACACAAAGTATCTTGAAAACCTACCAAATTCATTTTAGTACTACAAGTTTATTTTAACAGAAATGGTGATACAGTAAAACCTGTTTAAAATGGAATTGGATTAAACTGAAACTGCCTTCATGAATATTTTATTATTTTCTGGTAATAAATTTTGTGCTTTCTGAAATTTATCTGACAAAATAAACAAATACTTTTAATATACTATTGGGGGCAAAAAAACATTATGAAAGGGAGGGGGTTAAAATGTGCTCCTTTGGATTTCATTGTCATTAGGTTTTCCTGTATTACTTTTAAATTTCTTTATCAACCACTGTAATCACAGAAAACTTCTAGCTGTACCAAGAAGTTTGCACTCCCCACAATCTTACACCGTAGTTTACACTCCGCAGACAATAATTTGCTAAGTATGATTTGAGGTTTACACGGCAATGAGTCCGAAGATGGCTGTCTTCTGGGTTGTATTGCCACGTAGTGTGGTAGAAGTTTACCTAGACAACTGTCTTCAATTATTTGCTACTTCATGATTTGAACTGTGACTGAAGAACAGTGCTGCACCGTACAAGGTATTTTCTTTTCAGTTGCTACATTTTGTATTAATTAAGCTATAAAGTTAAAGGAAATCCTAATTCAGTACAAATTATAAAATATCTCTCAAGTATATCATTTTAACTTCTGACAATTTTGAAAAGAATAGCTTCTTTTGGAACTACAAAAATACTTCCTATAATAAAATACATGTATACAATTCTTTTGTGTATGTGAGTGTTTCTAATCTTATATGAAATATTAACCATTAATTTCTTGACTAAGCTCTCTGTTAATTTTATACAGTGATATGCATTAAACTTTATTAGTTATGAGTTAACTTTAAATAGTGACACATCAGAGAACGAAGATATGTCCTTTCATGGGGAAGATGGACACATGCAGCCGAGTTCACACGTTTCATCAAGGTATGGGTTTGTGGAGTGGAAGAATTTTAGGAAAAGCCACGTCAATGCTCTGTGGCTTCGAAGGAGAAATCACAGTTTTAAAATGTAAATAATAATTCTTTCCACTTTGTTTGCAGACGTTGTATTCATACTTTCAAAACTTTGGGCAGCTGAGGGTCTGGTTTTGTAATTCTTTATTAGCAGTTCTTTTTTATGTGAATCTCAGACAACTTTACCAATTACAGTACAATATATTGTAAAACAGGAATGAAAAGCACAACTGCCAGCATATTTTGTGATATAAGGATTATTCCTGGATACTGTCCTCTGACTGCAGTTGATATTATGTCTGTTTCATAAGCTGCTGTCTCCATCTTCAGGTAAAAAGAGAGAGCAATGGCAACTAAGTTGACAAGTTAAATAGAGCTAGTCTGTAATTAGGTTCAGTTACTGCTTTTACCTGAAGAAAGGCATCCTCTGTTTACAATGTAGACATAATTAAACCAAGGCAACAGACATAACCTAGGAGGTATCATTAGTATCATAATAGTGGATCACTGTCATAGACCTTCATAACTAAATCTTACTTTGGCTTTGAAACCTACAGCAGATACACATTCAAATTTTACTTCCATCATACCATTACGAATAATACAGATGTTGGTGCTATGTATGTTTGTCTTCAGTTGTATATAGTACATACAAAACTGGACCTGCAAATCCAAGCAGAAGAGAGCATATTAATAATTGCAACCATGTCAGACCCCAATCTGCTCCGTTGCAGCTGTACATAGACTTGTCATCACTGGATATATTAGAGTTTTCGTGCTGTATCAATGGACTAGTGCTACGTTCCACATCCAAAGTCTCTAGAGTTGTTCTATTTGTGCCGTACACACGCGTGGCATCGTCTACGAGAAATTCAACTGTGGGCACACTGCTGACATCTTTGGGCAAGGTGTTTGACATTTCTACTTTCATCACATGACTGGAGGCAGACATGTCATTAATAAGACTGTCACTTGAACTGTCTGAGTTGGTACAATTACCACTTCTTGCTTCACTGATAACTTTATGAGACAAACTTGCATGTACACCAGGTAGTTTCCTTGTAAATAGCCTCGCTGGAATCTTGACAGTCCTCCGAGCAAATACCTCATTGTCTCTGTGAATATTATTGATTCTTTTCAGCTCTGCGATCTGCAATACAGTGTCGGGGTTAAAAATCAAATATAAACACTTAGAAACAAGTATTTTAAAACATTTAACACTGCGAGTCTGTCCTTAAATTTACAAGTCTTATGTTCCTTTATGATGGCGTAAAAAAGGGACTGAGACGTGATGAATGAGTCAAGAGTCAGAGAAAAGTGTTGGTAGATAACAAAGATAATTTTAATAAAATTATATGCTACACCATGATATGAGTGTTATTAAATTAAATTGAAACTGAAGAGTTTGATATTGGGATTTCAGTGGTGACAGTATTGACCTTCAAATACTGAGTTAGTACATAAACCAGACTGACCTTAATGACGGGATTCAGCACAGCATAGGGTTAATGAAATAAGAAGCCCAGAATATATCTGAACTAAACTGAGTACTGATGAAAGACATTAAGAAGTTTCACAAGATAACACTTTCAAGTTATACTTACCTTACATTTACATCAAGATCTGAAGCTTTCATGGTGACTGAATGCAGCGAAGTCTTAAGCGATCAGGTAGTGATACTATAATTAAATATTTTGAGACTTTGTTTTCATCATCAGAGTTGTGACATCAACACATATCATGCCGTTCTCACGTGCCTGATTCCCCAAGATGTCATTACATTTTAATGAAATATGTACTTGTCTAAATATGTTTCTCTCTAAGCGTAACCTTCACCTCATTACTAAGTGAGATTTGAGGTCACAGCGGCAAGTGTGAAGATGACATTTTTCAGGGTTGTCATGTTGTCATGTTGTGAGATTTAGTGATATTTTAGTGGTGTTTGCTGCCTCACTGTCCTGATGATGGAGGCAGCAAGCACCTATGAAATGTTGGTAAACTTCTACATGGTGCACCAACCCAGAAAACAGTCATCTTTGACTTGTTACACGTTCACACAATTTCTGTTAAGCATTTCAGATCATACAGCCTACCTGTCAATGAATCAGAAGATGTAGCAGCTTCAGGTGTAGTGCTGGACTGTTGCGACATGCGATGTTAGTACTAGCCATCCGACGTGCAATTTTATCTTTGTGACATTAGGATTGTATGTAAGGTAACAGAAGCAAACATGGAAGTCATTTCTTTATTTGTCCCAGTATAAAACATATCTTAAAGGCATTCTTAGGGATGATTGATTCTCTTGCTACTTCAGTATATTTTCATCAACATTTTTTTGTAATTTCCAGGGTTTGGCAGAGAAGATTGATGCTTTTATGTTGAGTATCATACAACAGTGCAAGGTTTGGAGACAGGTTTTCAAGTCAATATGTACAGCAGTTTGGTTGGGTATAATTCATGAGACTGTGGTTCCAGCAAGATGGAGCCAAATCACAAAATTATTTCTCAGTCCACGATTATTTTTTGTAGAGCTATCTGAAGAATTTTGCATTTGAGATCCAGCCTGCCACTGTGGATGAACTCAAGGTCAGTATGAGACAAGTGATTCATGATGTGTTACAACACATGATGGATGATTTTACGAAGTGCCTCCAAAAGTTCATGACTGTAGAATGGGTAATTATACTGCATTCTGTTTTTTAAGGGTGAGCAATGCAAATATCTGACTTAGATTTCTGTTATATGTATATTATTATATGTGTATATTATTTGAGGAGGCTAGGGCTCGATTTTGGGCTGTTATGCCATAGTAGTAGTAGTAGTAGTAGTAGTATATTATTTATTTGATGAAACAATTTATTTACAAATGAAAATAATCTCTGCAAGACCACATTTTTTCACTTGGACAAAAAGCAGTGAAGGTATTCAAAAGGAGTTAAAGATAGATTTTTTGACTATAGAAATAAATTATGTAAATATGAAGGAAATGGAAGGCATACCTACTACAAAAATACTTACGCAGTATAGTCCACACAGAACGGAAATATTGGGGGACTATAAAAATTATGGGCAAACCAAGAGATTTTAATGGAGATGGAACAAGCCACTGGGGTTAATCCTTAAAGTTGATTATTTTTAATGTATCATGATGGATGATGAAAGACATGGGCAACCGAATGAACCATTTCTTCTGCCAGAAGAAGAAATGGTTCATTCAGCCACCTGACGTGGCTTGTTGCCCGAGAGTCTTTCATCAACTTCAGTCGCTGTGAAATATTCACTTGATATATCATGATGGATATTTAAATTTAGATCTTGGATCCATCTTTTACAGATTCTATTGACTGTTATAAACTTTTTCAAGCCTTTATTCTATCTATAGTTATGTTACAGCACGTCCTGTCTTCACACTAACTTGTAATCACTAAGTTAAATAGTACATTGTTTATTATGGCAACAACACTGTCAGATTTATTGTAATATATATGCATAATTTTATTTTGCCTCCTGTGAACAGTTAATCAGCCAGTTCATACAAAAGATTCTGATCAACAAATTTGTCCTGCCATTACAGAAGAGATTAATTGGTCTTCTGATTAATGTGATCAAATATGTCTGAATAAGCTAACAAAATAATTAACTCATATGCATGTGGGATCTTTAACAACTTTCCCTGTAATATTTTAAAAATGCTGTAAAATTTTATTATAGTCACAAATCTGTTCTATTAATGTGGCACAAGTATCACTTTAGTTTTATCAAAATGTGTAATTTATTTTGTAATGAATCATCATCTGACTTTTAATACCTCCATATAATTTCTCATATTCTGGTGACACACTATATCAATTTTGAATTTGAGTAGGAAAGTAAATACAAGAAAGTCTGTACAGCCATGCCGATGTTAATTTATTTAAATCATTTTGGGAACATTCTACCACTAATAGATACTAACAGGGCAATTGAACTGAAGTGCAAGTGTCTGCAATGTATCTCCTGGCTGAACTTCTCTCTCCAAAAATGGCTCCTGTTTATACAATTTCAAAGGATGCTGGTCTTCTTCACTGTCACCATCTTCATCACTACTGTTGTTGCAGAATACATATCTATTGCCTTCCAAGTGGCCTCGATGATACAACTTAAGCCTGCAAGATCAAAAATATAGTCAGTACTTCAGTAACAATAAAAATGTATCCTTTGAGGGAAAGTTCAAGAATTTATAACTGTTGTTTGATCTATTTGATTCTTCATATGACACATGTCAAATTACTTTCTATACGTCATATAAAATATTACCAACAATCATATAGCTACAACATTCTCTTAATAATTACATTATATTGTAACGCTAGAAATAAATTATAAATATCCATGATAGGTTCCATATGATTCACATAATTGTGGCCTTTTTAAGATTCTACATAGAAGAATTGCATTTTTGGGCTTCTTGTATAGTATTAAATACGACCATGCAGCTACAACATTATTCTATTAATAATTACACGACATTATAACCTCAAACATATATTTGGAAATATCCCTTACGGATACCGCCTGGTTCACACCTTTGTGTTTTTTCTTGCATGTCTCCACACTTTACTTCGAACAACACGATTTTCTTTATATTTCACTGTAGCTCACAGAAGCTGTAGTTAACACATGTTTACTACTAACACACAGCTCCAGCAACCACCTTCACATATCACAAAAGCAACCTGTTCAACTATATTCCTTTATCATTCCAGCTTTCAGGATTAACCCACTTATCCTCATAGACACCACACAAAGAGGAACGTTCGTGGCTGTCGGATATACAGAAACTGTTCTACAACTTCCCGCAAAGAGCGAAATTAAAAGTGCTTAAAGGATCACGAATTATTTGCATAGAGCATTTCGTAGTTCTTAAGTATTCCTTGCAAAATTCGCATGAAATGGATAGATCATGGGGAGATTGTGGCTGGGGGTAGAATGCCCAGATTATCCGGTGCGCCCTGAGCAAACCATAGTTTTAATACCAGCTGGGATCTAAAGAAACTGGGAAGAAGATATAAACCTGAAATTATTTTGTAACTTTGATTTTAGGAAGCACTATTTTCACATTTTTAAATAACTGAAATCGAGGCTCGTCTTTCATTTTATGACGTATAGGAATCGAAAAAAGCATTTTCTTCTCAAAACCTGTTACTAAATCAAAGGTGCGATTACAATTTTTCACCGAGATGGGTGTAAATGATAAATTCAGAAATCTTGGCGACATAATAAGCAGGAAAACGTTCTAGAAGAAAAGTACTGAAAGCGCCCAGGGATGAGAACAAAGAACAAATGTAGATCTAGATCTATCGGATTATCGAGAAGGCTGTGCTATGAAGGTTGATCTTTTGTGTTCAAATTTACTGTATGGTTTATATCTGTCACATTGCTTTTGTATTTCAGCTATATAAAGTGAATTATGGCAGAAATGGCGAGTTTGCAAGACGATAATTCAGAAGGAAAACATGTTCAACTGTTTCGTGTTCGAATGCGAGGCGTTTTCGAAAAGATCATGACTGGCGTGAGGTGAGGAAGGTTATGTACGTTTGTAAAGGCTTACCTAAATATAGTAGGGATTCAAAAATGTTGCTGTTGGGTTGTTGGTGGATTAGTTATGCGATTGAGAATGCGGAAATTAGTAAACTTTAATTTTACGTTGATTTCTTGTTTACGTTACAACTAATTTATTGGATACTGTGGATGACAGTGTTGCTCACATAATTGCAGGTGTCCTGGTGCTTAAAATATTTATTTCTTTCATTGGAGATTAAAACAAGTAACATTTAGGCTGTGACTTGGGCAAATTTGTGGTATTTGATCAAATTGCACTTGTCCCGGCCTGACTGTTCTTGGATCATACAACAGGTAGTGCTACTGTGTGGGCAGGTGCAGTACTATAGAATAGAATTTATGTACATTCCATAGATCCTTTATAGGCCCAAGCCAAGGATGCAGAACATGCCATAGCACACATACAATGCTTGTTTCTAATTCCAATATAAATTGCATAGTTATGACAGTAATTTACAGTCAGCTACAGTATTACCACAAAAATAATTACAGGAGAAAGCATAACCATTATTGCTTACATGTAATGTGATACTCCTTATAGTAAAGCATGCTGACCTCAGTTTAGGGATAATGTACTGAGTAATTCAGTGTTCAGCAACCTTTCTACACTTGCGGCACACTAAATATTGTCGAAGAGTCATGGCGGCTCACCAACCCCATTTTGTATATTGTTGAGGGGGGGGAGGTGGTTTATGGCACTGATTGGCTGCGGCAACTTCTTACAAATCGACCACAACCGAAAAATGTTCTATTTGATGTTCATAATTATCCATCTTTATTATAATGTCATGTACTTTAAATATATTCATCATTTGAATAAATTAAAACATACTTATACATATTGTTTAATCCAAAATTTATTAACCATGTGTAATCATTAAAACTTAAAGATACTTATTTGTATTTTTATATGTGATTATTTCACAGTATTCTAATCAGTTTCCGCTGAGTATGGAATATGACTGTCATTTACAAATAGTGGATGTGATCAGAGGAAATATTATTTTTAAAATAAAACTAGACATCAGTAATTATCTAATTACGAAAGTCTATAATTAATTTAATAGCAATGTGGTTCCTATTTACTGTTATGTCTCTTTGCAGAAAAATACATAGAGTAGCAATAAAAGTAAAATAGAGGTATATATGTTTTGCCTTTATAGAATGATCTAAGATTTTTCATTTGTTTAAAATAAATCATATATTATTCATTTATTTTATTTGTAAGAAATTAGTTTATATTAAATGTAATGCAGTCTCTTTGTAGTGATGAGAACTGAATAGAGAGGATTCTATTTTGTCCGTGTCCCTAAATATCTGAAGGCGAAGGTTCATTATGTGAGATCCTTGGAAACGTGTCTTAGCAAATGAAGACTGAAAATTGATTGGAACATTTGAAGTGTTTTCATATGTTTTCTGTTTAATGTGACAGTAAAAGTTCTTATAGACTGGAGTTATTAAAGCTATTTAAACTGTTATGGTAAGACTTGACCAAATAAACAAGATATCATTCTTTGTTTCTAATCATTTTTATATAATTTTTAGATCTTGTTGGAATTTGAGCTATTGAAACAAACTTTCTATCCTTTTTTTTAAGTTTAGAGAAGTTTGAGGAGATTTATGAGGCAGTGCTACAGGGAAGGCTGTCATGTGCGGGGCGTTTGCACACGATATGGACGAGTACTGCACTGGAAGGCATGGTGAAGGAACTGGATGAGGTTATCATTGAGGAAAATGTTAATGATAAGCTAAAACAATTGGCAGAAATCACTGAAGAGTGTCAACAAGACAGGGGCACATTAGCATGGTAATGTAGTCTACTCTAATAAGTCTTGAACTTGTGACATGGTATCATGACATTTTCTTGGATTATGCTATTACGTTTCCTTTTTCCATTTTCTTCCTGCGCCTCTGTATTGGAAATGTGTTATCTTCTTACTATTACATGTTATTTCCAGTTACTGTATGAGAAGATATGTTTTACAATGGCATAAGTAGTTCGTATGAGTAGAGTACAGATCTCATGAAAGTTAAACATTTTATGATCTGAAGCTTTCATGATTACTGAGTGTAATGAATTCTTCTCAGGCTACCAGCCCTGAGGACAAGGACGAAGACGGTTCTCGAAACGTTGGTGATTTCTCCGTTAATCCACTTGACATGGCTGGTAGCCCGAGAAGAATTCATCTATACTTTATAATTAAAAAAATCATGCTTAGATGTTAAGGACTTAATGGAGAGATATTCATAATCATTTCATTATGGCTGTATCTGCATTTTCCTATTTGTGAAGACAAATACTGTGTTGTCTTGATGCATAAAAGCCTTTACCACGCCTTATACCAAGTTTTTCTGGTAAATGTTCATCTCAGTTTCAACATGCTTTAATTTTTATTTCATATCCAGTTTTACTTAACTTGGTGCAGGAACTGATAGATCTACGAGATAACGCTCTTTGTATGTGATTCATTTTAGCATGAAATTAAATTGGCAAAGGTTGCTGTTAGTGTCTTTGTGTTCTGTCATGCCAACTTATGCTAAGAATTTCCTAAATCAAAACTTATTCATCCCCTTCCCTTTTTACACTTATGCTTGGGGGGGATTGGGGGAATGGTGGTCAATAAGTAATGCTGCTAGTCGGGCACCTTTCTGAGAGACAAAAACACATTTTGTAAGCTGAGTCGTGTGCTTATTACTTACTAATGAAACACATTTTTTCACTCAGTATCCTATTTATTTCATTGACATGCTAAGTTCAAACAGTGACTCAGTACCCCTAGGGGTAGGGAATAGCAGAGTCAAAGGTACTCCTTCAGTTATCGTTTCCTAGAATAATTTTGTTGCGTTGAAAGCATTTCATACTGCATTCTTAAGGAGTATGAATTTCAGATTAAATGCCCCCTTATGTAAATTTTCAACTTTGCTTATACGCTTTGGTTAGTCTTGCGTTTCCCCTAAGTAACTGCCATTTACCTGCTCTCCCATCAATCGGCACTAATGAGATTCTCAGATCGCTGGTAACAAAACTGAATCTTCTAGTGAGTTTTCTGAAAAAGAATAGTGTCCTTGCAGATTAACAACACATAGAGGCACAGTAGGAAAATGGACTCCCAAGTTATGTATAAGATAAAGATGTGAGTTGAATGAATGTTGGGAGATAGTTTTATGTCATCTTCATTTCGTTTGTCACGTTTAATTGGCTGGAAATATTGATGTTCGTATTTAATATTTTGTTTAATCGCATGTTGTCTGTGTTGCATAGGAGGCCACCTGCGAACTTATCGGAACATGTTAGATCGTTTGATATGAAGGAGAAGATAAAAAGGAGAAATGAATTTGAAGCTTTTGTTAGTGATAAAGAAGCTGAAGTGGAGAAACTGAAGAGAGAAGTGTCAGATGGACGTATGCGTGTTTGGAAACTAGAAAATGTTTTAAATGAACAGTTAAACAAGCTTCGCTCTGTTTATGAAAGAGAGAACAAATACCAAGCAGAGCTTCAAGTTCACTTTGACCAGTTAAAAGAACAAGTACAGTAGATTCATACTGATGAGTGCAACAGTAATGCATTTAGTACATTGTTTACTGTAGCGTAACCAGTATATGTCAGCCCTTGAATAATCATATATGAAACAAGCACAGTCAGGACAGTAGTAACAGCCAAGCTGCGGTGGCCTTACCACATGCACAGAACAACTAATGAACTTCCATATTTGCTCTTAGGTTTTTAAATATTTTGTGAACTCTGGAGTCTGTGTAACTCTGAGTGAATTTTAATTGAAGGTGAATTGCGGTAAAATCACTCGTAAAATTCATATGACAGGACTTGTATTAAATTTTTACTTATTATGTTTAAATATTTTGCTTATCTTATTATTTTATTTCTAGGTTGAATAGGTTTAGCAGTAAAGAACACAAACATGAACCATCTGTTTCTGCAATAACATACACCTAATTGAAAATGGCAGGGAAATTGATTAGGTGGGGGGGCACATACAAATAATTCTTGCAGAAGAGTAAATGCGAAGATGGTTGTCTTTTGCGTTATTGTGCTGTACAGTTTGATAGAAGTTTACTGACATTTCAGAGGTGCTTGCTGCTTCCATCATCAGGGCAACGAGTGTTTGTAGGCTGTTTCTTTATTATAACTGTTTAATACAAAGTTTTAAGGAAAAGTCAGTCAAACATCTCCTTTATATAAACAAGTGTTGTACAGGTATGTAATTAATGATAATACACCAACAATCTTAAGCTCCTGTAAAGCAGCTGGCTATGAGCTGTTTGTGAATTTGTTTCATAGAAGTGGCAGACACTTTCCTCTTCCTCATCACTGTCTAGACATCTTCCTTTTTATGGTGCAAGGTTGTTAGCCTTGCGACCAACCCCCAACCTGGAGGACCAGGGTACCTATCTTAGTCTGACCTCTCCCCCTCGACCAATCTTGTTAGGGAGGCCCTACCAGTAGCTATGCTACCGTCAGCATAGAATAAAATAATTAGGATGTTTAAATTTCTGTGGCACTGTTGGAAGGTGTCTGTGGCATCCCTGTTCTGAACCAGTGGTCTAAACAGTCTGGAGCATATCAGATTCCAATTCAATGGGTACTGGGACATGGTGCAGCTCTTACACTGGAAGTAATTTGGCTGGAATCCGAAGTTTACCACTTGTCTCCAACTAGTGCCAAACTTAAGAATGCATTGAGCTTCACATATACTCCCCTATATGCCCCCATGACATGGTACATATGCATATGTACAATTTTATGTTTTTTCTTGTAACTTTTCTTATAGTATGACATTTTTTTAGCATTCAATTCTCCTGGTAGAATTTAATCAGGGTGCCCACTTGAAGGGCTATACAGGGCCCCCTATACCTCCTCAGTAGAATGGTTATGTATGGGTTTTCATATGTGACCATTAGAAAGCCTACAAATGAGCCCCTATATATGACCATTAGAATGGCTACATAGGAATCTATTCCTGCCCATTTAAAAAGGTGTATGAGCCTACTACATACATGACCATTAGAATGACTATGGGCCTACAATGTTGTTTGTCATCAGGCTTTCGACTGGTTTGATGCGGTCCTCCATTTTCGCCTATCTTGCGCTAATCTTTTCATTTCCACATATTTTCTACAGCCCACATCCTCAAACATCTGCGACACACATTCCAATCTTTGTCTCCCCCTACAATTATTCCCTTCAATTACCAAATTAACCAATCCTGGGTACCTCAGAATGTGTCCCACTATCCTATCTCTGCTTCTCGTAAGATTTTTCCATAGACTTCTTCCTTCGCCTATCCTGTCTAAGATCAGCTCATTTCGTACTTTATCAGTACACTTAATTTTCAACATCCTTCCATAGCACCACATTTCAAATGTTTCTATCCTTCTTCTTTGTGGCTTTCCCACTCCATTGTTATGAACAGATTAACTAAGTCTTGGACCAGGACTGACACTTTGGCATGACCATGGTAATTGAAAGAGGATATGAGTTTTTGAACCTGGAACATTAGCAGACTCTATAGGGCTGACTGCTTGTCTTTGCAAGTAAGTGGTCTTCAGAGCCCGCGTGAGGCAGAGACTGCGGCTGGCAGAGACTGTGAGAAGCAGAGATTAAGAATAGGTGAGACTGGGTGTTACACAGACTGAGTCCGGCAGAGAGAAAGTCCAGCAGGGACCATGTGATGTAGAGATCAAGACTAGCAGAATGTGTGTTACACAGACTGAGTTTGGCAGAGAGAGAGTCGAGCAGGGACCGTGTGATGCAGAGATCAAGACTAGCAGATTGGATGTTACAAGGACTGAGTCCGGCAGAGAGAGAGTCCAGCAGGGACCATGTGATGCAGAGATCGAGACTAGCAGATTGGGTGTTACACAGACTGAGTCCGGCAGAGAGAGAGTCGAGCAGGGACCGTGTGATGCAGAGATCAAGACTAGCAGACTGGGTGTTACCTTGTTAACCAGAGACGGAGTCAAGCAGAGACGTGGTGAATCACACACCATGCAAGGAAGACACCGGTTGAGGCAACTGAGTCTGGCAGAGAGAGAGAGTCCAGCAGGGACCATGTGATGCAGAGATCAAGACTAACAGACTGGGTGTTACCTTGTTAACCAGAGACGGAGTCAAGCAGAGACGTGGTGAATCACACACCATGCAAGGAAGACACCGGTTGAGGCACAGAGTGAGTACGGTTGAGACTGTGTGGTGTAGACAGTAGCAGAGTCGGGTAGGGTCAAATTTAGAAGAAACATAACCAAATTTTTCGAAATTTTCAAAAAATCAAAAAACGCTGCAAATCTTCTGAAAACCGCACAAATCCAAAAATTTTCGGAAAATTCGAAAAAAATTTAAGAATTGAAAATTTTCAAAAACTCTTAGTTCTGTGCGCTTTTTATACGATACCCTACGTTTTTTGATTTCTCGAAAAGTTTGAAAATTTTCAAAATTTTAAAAATAGTTGCAAATGGCATGAAACGCAAAGAT